AACCCCCCCCAACCCCCAACAAACAAACTGTGATATCTTCCTCATATGGATGCTTAGTGTTTTTCTACCGATACGATTTAGGAAAAACAGAGTAGGGTTGTCAAACAACTATGAATTTTCTGGAATTTTGTGATGGCATAATATATATTATTATAAGAAATAAAAAACATCTTCTCTTCAATAGTTTTCTTTTAGTCCAAATATCTATGTTGTGGCAGAAGCTGTTATGAGTCATTGTTTTTTATTTCTTGTTGTTATCTTTGTTATTGCTGTATTGTTGTTGTTGTTGTTGTTGTTATTATTGTTATTGTTGTTGTTGTTGTTGTTGTTGTTGTTGTTTGTGGTGGTGGTGGTGGTGCTTTGATAGACATTTTACGATATTCTTTAAACAGAACCAGGAAGGCGAATGACTTTGTGTCCTAACCAAACCCCCGTATTGAGAGGACATTATGCTGTGGCTGCTGTTGCTATGTGTTATTATTTTGTTGTTGTTATTGTTGTTGTTGGTGGTGGTGGTGGTGTTTTGATGGACATTTACGCTGTCCTTCAAACAGAACTGGGAAGGCGGAACACTTGGAGTCCTAACCAAACCCCACACCGAGAGGACATTTTTTCCAGGGGAAGACGAGAAGAATTCCGAACCCTCTAGGAAGACGAAAAGAATGTTCCCCTAAATAAAAAGAAATGCTCCTACATGTGTAGATCTACGCCCCTGAAAAAGCATTGAAAATATAGTTGGAATGATGTAATGTCAGAAGGTTCATCGCTGTGACCTTTTCAAGAACATTGCTAGTGTTAAAGAACATGAGATGCAAATCGTGGGGAGAAAAGAAAGGAGCAGAAAGGAAAAGAAAATACGAGAAGACAACAGAATAAAAGTAAACGAAAGCTATGCATACCAGAAAAAAATATTCCAGGGAAAGCCTTTAGCTGAAAAAGGCAATAGTTTTGAGAAAGAGATGATTAAAATGGAGTGCGCTCATTAATCACTCAGAAAGTGAGAGAGAGCGCGCGGAGGCGAGAGAGTGAGACACACACACACACTCACACACACAGAGAAAGAGAGAGAGAGAGAGAGAGAGAGAGAGAGAGAGAGAGAGAGAGAGAGAGA